TGTCCTGGCTCTCTGGGCTGTGGAGTGAGCTTGTCTTTATTCCCCAAGGGCGCTGCTCACAGTTAAGACTGCTGGTGTACTTGGGCTTCCAGCTCACCACCCTCTCGTGCTTCTGGAGATCATAGCAGTGTCCCTGGTTATATGGTCCTGTCCTGCTGCTTTTCTGTTGCCTTTTTCCGAGGATTTGTCTTTATTTCAGTTGTAATTCCCATTTGGTCTTGGGAGATCATCTGCGTGGCTTTTATTCACTCTGCTTCCTTTTTCACATCCTCTAGGCCTATCCTGTGCACAGCTGGGTCGCACAGGCCTTTCTTATGCCCCAGCACCCTGCAGGTCCTGCGGGTAACTGGATCACACAGTCCCTCTGGAGACCTGGCTCTATGCCTATGTTATGGGCTGCTGGGTTGCACAGGCCTCTCAGGTCCTTCAGCACCCCACAGGTCCCGCAGGTAACTGAATGGCACAGTTCCTGCTGGGTCACGCAGGCCTCTCTGGTGCTTCAATCAGAACACCAAAGGACCAGGACATGACCAGAACCTGAAACTGGAACACTTTCAGAAGTGAAGGGCCCATTGTCCAGAAAGATCTGGTGCTATAACCCCTTAAATCTCACCTCAAACCCTAGATATGGAGACAGACTTGAGCCTTGCTTTCTGTCTCCTTGCTGACTGACCTCACAACAAAACCTTTTTCCCTTTCTCAAAAGCTGGTGCCATAGTATTGGCTTCTATGTGTGTCAGTCTGTGAGCCCTTGCTCCATAACACCAGGATAGTGGGAAAAGCAGGACAGGGAAGGGGAAGAGTCCAAGTGAGGGGGCAATCTCAGAAGGAGAGATTCTGCCAGATCCCACCAGGGAACTTTGCAGTGTAATTTTTACTTAGTCTTTGTCCCAACTTGAGGTAAAGGGGCTTGGATTTTGGAATATTGTACTCTGAGGGAAGGGCAAGAAAAGGCCATTCTAAGGTACTTCCAGCCCTCTGCTCTTCTAGGTTAAGCAGCTCTAGTAACTGCCTGAGGGACTTTTCTGAGAGATAGAGTGTCTGGTGTGGGCTGTTGGAAGCAAAAGCACATTGAAGCCAGAAAGGGGTACATAAAAAGTTAAAGAGGTCCTAGAGGATCTGCACGGAGCACCAACAGTGCCCTCACATCGTGCCAGAACATAGCTTCTTAGGGAAAGGGATCTTTTTCACTCACTCATATATCCACAGTGCCAATTAGAGTATAAGTTACATAGCAGGTAGTCACTAAATATTTGTCAAATTAAATGGGATTATCAAAGGTAATAAATATTTTCGTTATTGCTTTTTTGGTGCCTTGCTGCTAAAGAACTTCTACACCCAAGATAATTAAAAAGTTTTCCTGTAGTTTTTTCTAATTTTTTTTTCCTTTTCTTTTTAGAGGAAGGGGGAGAGAGAGGAACATCAATGTGAGAGAGAAGCATTGATGAGTTGTCTCCTGGAACTCACCCTGACTAGGGATCAAACCTGCAACTATTTGGTGTATGGGACTATGCTCCAACCAACTGAGCCACCTGGCCAGGGCTCTAATATGTTTTTTTGTTTGTTTGTTTTCAATTTACCTTTATTGTTGAAAGCATTACAGATGTCACTCCTTTTTTCCCCTATTGACATCTGCTTCCCCGCTCCAGCCTCCTCCCGCCTCCTCCCACCCCCCCACCCTGCCTTCACCACACTGTTGTCTGTGTCCATTGGTTATGCATATAAGTTATTTGGTTTATCTCTTCCCCCCACCCACCCCCTTTCCCTCTGAGGTTTGTCAGTCTGTTCCCTACTTCCATGTCTCTGGATCTATTCTGTTCATTATAGTCCACAAATAAGTGAGGTCATGTGGTACTTGTCTTTCTTTGACTGGCTTATTTTACTTAGCAAAATACTCTCCAGGTCCCTCCATGTCGTCTCAAAGGCTAAGAGATCCTTCTTTCTTATACCTGCATAGTATTCCATTGTGTAAATGTACCACAGCTTTTTTCCCACTCATCTACTGATGGACACTTGGGCTGTTTACAGATCTTAGCAGCGCTATCTACAATAGCTAAGATCTAATATGTTTTATGGTTGTTTCTCACATTAATTCCCCCTAGAGTCTTTTTTCCCTTAATGCTAAGTGGTTTGTTGATGTATAATTTGCATGCAGTAAACAAATATTAACTTTATGGATTGCTAAATATTCTGTTTCTTAATCTGGGTTCTGATATATATATATATATATATATATATATATATTTGCATCATTCTAGAAAGTTCTCTTGTTCCCCTTTCCAATCAATAATTTCCCCAATAGCAGTAACCATTATTCTGACTTCTATCACCATAGAATATGAAAATTAATTAAAAGTCTCAAATTGAAGAACAAAATAATTGAAATAGTTTAAAATTTCAAGACAAACATAAATAATTAGGTTGTGTTCTTTTACATGAAGCCAAACACACACTAAAACTCATTAAAATAGATCAAAACAACAATCATGGATAGAAGCAAAATAGGTCTGATAAAGCAGAGTTGAGCACATGAAAGTGATTGCTTTTCCTTCCCCATTGTGGTCCACCTAGAATTAATGTTTGTGCATGGCAGCAGAGAGAGGTCAAGGTTCATTATTATCCACATGGATTTCCACCCAATGACCCAGCCTCCTTGATTAGAAAGGCCATCATGTCCCCAAAGCTCTTCAGTGTTTCCTGTCATAAGTGAAGTGCCTGTGTAAGTGGGGGTTCTACGTCTCAGCATTGCTTTCTCTCCCACTGGGCCCTCTGGTCCACCCTGCACCAATGCCACACTCTCTGTTGCAGAAGAAAAAATTAAATTTATAAAACAAATGGCACAATTAAAATAAGGAAACAGTAAATGCAAGTTAAGATCAAGCAAAATAAAGGAGAAATAGGAAGCTGTGAACTTAGGGAGGTGTCTGGTTAGAGTACAGGGACCAGGGTTTAAAGGGCCTGAGGTTCCAAGACGTTTTAGGTTAGGTTTCGTAGCCTCTGATTTTCAGGTCAGCCTTGTGGGCCAACCTGCTCTTCTTTGGGTCAAGGGCTTGGTATGGAGTGTGTGTATCAGGTAAAAGCATTCATGGTGGTCAGCCTCATACTTCACCAAGGTGAGGAATTTCATGTAGCGTCTCCTTTCTCTCAGCCAATTTCCTGGGCCTGTCCTCTCTCTGCCTTTGGCCTGTTTCTCCCAAATCTGAGCCCCCACTTCTCTGGTTGTCTCTGCCTTGCTTCATGCCCTAGAGATGCTGCTGACCCAGCAGCAACTGGGGCAGCTGGGAGCTTCAGCCATGGGAAAAAAGGAGGTGGTGGCACAAGAGACCCCTGCTATGGAGAGGAAGACTAGGAGCTGTTGCTTTTCGATGTCACTAATAACAAAAGTGAGGGTAAGCCCTTGACTTTATTGCCAATTACTGAAGCTTGTTTCTGATGAAAAAAAAGATGTCAAGATATGGTTTAGCTGAGCAGAAACAGTACTCATTACTGCCACCTGCTCAACTGTTTGCAATGAAATAACATGGATATAGGTCATTCTGTGTGAGTCGGTTGTTTGTTGTAATTGAAAATGGCAATAAAGTCTATTTTCACATACTCAGCTTTCAAAACATGTTTTGTATTTATATTGACTGTCATCACTATAAACAAATAAGAAGGAACTTAAGTCACAATTCCTCCTTATAACACTTTTATTAATGCCAGAAATGAAATAGTAAAAAACACAATGAATTTTTTTTTTAATCAGAATTATTGTGGGTACAAGGACTGTGTAAAAGGGGACTTAAAAGGCCTTGAGAGGAAAAAGGCAGGCCTGAGGAGAGCCTTCAGTCTCATCTCAGACCTAAAGACCTCAATTCAGTCGATCCCTGCTCCACAGTGTAGTGGTCTGGAAACTGACTCCCATAGTCTCACTCCACACCGTTGTAGCTAGGCTGTGTGCTGGGCCTCAGGGTTCATCCCTACTCAAAAACTTAACTCCCAACGTTTCTGTGGGCTTGTGGCCTTAGGGACTTGTACACTTGAGACCCTTCACAACTCCTGATCTGGAGGAAATTCCTAACAAAATGGGATGGAAGGAAACAAAACAAAAAGGAACTGCATAAAACAATATGGAATTAATTGCTGCATTGTCCTGTTATGTTGATTCCCAAATCTTCTAGGAAAGAGTACCCTGGCACAGTGTACAGACATGCCATGTGCATTTGACTGGCAATGGAATCTGGGATGGATTCTGTTTTAAAAAAAATCTCAGAACCAAGTCAAAATCAGACCTCTGTTACACATGCATTAGATCCTCCGAAAAACATTTGGCTGACATCGATTTGACTTAGGGTGCCTTTTTCAGGAGCGCATGCTGCTGTCAGCTAAAAATCTACCAGTGTTTTGTACCCCTGAATCGGTATGCTTTTGAGGAGCCATCTATTAGCAGTTTTAGATAAGTAGGATATTAACTTGGAAATGAGGATGAAGTCACTGTTTTTATAAAAATCCCTAATTAATCACTTCCAAACAAATCATACCACTGAAGTGTGTGTTGCTTCCCGTAGTAAATGTGTCCCTGGAAACATTTTATAGAAACAGATTTTCTCTTTTTGTCAATTAAATGACATCTCAATATTGACATAATTGCAGCTCTATTTTCTTTTCCATTCTATTTTCAATCTAGTGTGGTTCTTGACATTTGGGCATACAATTTTCCCGCATGGCCTTTACCAAGTAATCAGTGGTCTATACACAGATGTCCCACACACAAGGGAGCTGCCATCTACGGGAACTGACAGTCTGCAGCCCTGGATTTTTGCCCGAGGCTCTGTGATTCTTTGCAAGTCACATAGGGAAGAAGGTAGCTCTTTATAGGCTCCAGCTTCTGTGTGTGGTGACATGGAGCTGGCCACGGGGTGAGAGGAGCTCTCTTGTTGCTCTGTCTGGGCTCACTAAGGACTCGACTCAGTTAAAGAACTCAACAATTCCCACCCTACCCCCCCACCTTGTTCCAGGAAGAAAATGATCTTGCTGCTTTTAACATCAAAGCTACTTCTTTTATGATCTGAAAAACCAAGACTGGTACTACTTACCTTTGGGGCATTCTGAAATCCCAAAACCATGCAGCAAAGCCTGCAACTGCCCTGAGTTACCCTGACTCTCATAGACCTGGCTGCCTAGTTGATCCATCCTCACATAAAGCACACAGTATCAATGGACATGTTGGAGCAGTAACTGCTTAATTCCAAGTTGTTCAGAGCTGTCTTCTGGGCACAGGTGCTCAGAAGGATGAATGCAACTTTCATCTGAGTCCCTCGAACCCCAGTACCCCATAAAGCAGAGGAAAAATTAGCTAGGAAACCTGAGAATGCAACTTACTGCTTTTTGTTTGGGGTTTTTTGTTTCCTAGTTATAACTCTTTATCACTGAAAAGCTTGGGTCCAGCATAAGATATCCAGGGACAATTTGTGCCTTCCCAAGGTGGCAAAAATTATTCCGTCAACATTAGCTAGCTCATGGGAAACACACTGCAAGGGGACCATGCAATCCAAGTATGGATTTCACACTAATCATCAAGAGGTATTTCTAATGGTAATTACTGATTACATTAGAGTTCCCCATTTGAACACAATTCAAAGATACCCTGGCTTGACATGCATACCTTTCAAGTACAAAAGCACCTGCTCAAAATCCTATGAAAGAGAGATGATGACTCATCTCATGTCTGCATGTGCCTCCCACATTTCTTCAAGTTTGAACAAACTGATCGATTTCATCAAAATCCTCAGTCAGTGTGAGATGGTGGAATGAGCCTGAAATGGGAAGCCTGTCCAATTCTGTTCTAAACCTAACTCTTTGTCTCAGCTCCATGAGTGATCATGGGCAAAGTGTGCCCTCCTCTGGTTCTCAGTTTTCTTTTCTTCAAAGCAGGAGCAACTACTTCTACCAACCCAAGCTTCTGAGGTCTTTTACAGGAATAGGAGATGATGCATGTGAAAACACGCTGGAAAAGGGCCAACAGCAACGGAATACCCAGCCACAGGTAGCTGCTTAAACCTTGATGTCCTTAGAGCCACTGGTGTCATCTGATACGGTCATCACAGAGCCCAGGAATCATGCCCCATCACTTGAATTGTCTTTCTTTGGGGTATAAAAATTATTTGTCTGCTGGAATCTATGGAGTAAGGAGTGCAGATTCTCCCATCATCGCTGAGTTTGATTTCTTCAACCGTGTCTTCAGGGGCTAGGACAAGATGGTTTCTAGGGGCCTCTCTGCTAGGAAAATTTATCACTTCAATGGAGGCACAGGAGAGAGGTCATTTTCAGGTATTGGAGTCAAATGATGTCAGTCAGTTAGCAATACTGGCTTCACTCCGCATTCCAAATTCTCCACTGAAGAGATTTTTAACCAAACTCTGGGAAAATATTCTGTTAAAGTCTTGTTTTTATTGTTCCTACCCTGTCTAAATGAATGGAGTTTTCTACATCCCAGTCTGTGGCTGTGGAATCCTCCATCTCTGCCTCTTGTAACTGTGGAGCCAACTCTAAGCATCCCTGAGGCTCTGAGCATGGGACAGTGTGGCCAGAGAAGGAAACTTCCGCGACAGGTGGGGGGTGGGTGCGGGGGCTGGACTCCCTCAGAGCCCCCTCTGAGAGAACATTGCTTCCTTCTTCTCCCCATTTAATGTATACAAATAGGTCCTCTCTCTCAAAGGTTCTTGCCAAGCCCACGGAATTACACATTCTCTCTGGATCTTGACCTGTGTTGAACATCGGTGTGATTCTAGTGAAAAACACTCAAAGCCAGCCCCCCCAAGCTTCCCTGTGTCACACACAGTCTAAGCCCACACCGCTTACACTTTGGATTGCCTCTCATCGGTCCACTCCTGCTTTGTGCTCTGGAGAGCTTGCGTCTTCTGCTCATCCACTTGGACATAGTCTACTCTTTGCTCTTCTGAAAGGAGAAGTTTCTGAAAGGGAAGAATAAAAAGCTTTTCATTACATTTTATTACAAATTTGGAAAATGTCAGTCTTCTATGGTAGATCACAGTGTTGTTAAGTATTTGCTGCCCCTTCTTTCTGGGTCATTCACTGCAGAAGCCTTATTATATTTTATGTGTATGTGTATATCTTCACCTCTGCTCCCTTCCACTTTGCTGTAGCCATTTGACTTGCTTTGACCAATATAATGTGAGTGGAAGTGACATGTGCCAATCCTATAGAAAAAAGAGGCATCCTATAATTCTGCAATCTCTCTTTTTCTCCTTCCAGGAGACCAGCATGCCTCAGATGGAGTTGCTCCTTCTGCCTGGACCCTGGATTGAAGATGACCTGGAACACCAAGGTCCTGGCCTGTAGTGGTTTGTCCCATTAGCAACAACTGAAAAGGGTTTTTCTGTTTCAAGACACTGAGAGTTGGGGGTTGTTTGTCTTGATTGCAGAGCCTACCACATCTGACTAATGCACCTTTTTTATTCATTAGTCTCACCTTTATGACCAGCTTTTCTGGAGTATCAGTTCAGGTTTTTCGAATGAAATTAAAGGTAAAGGAGAAATGGGAGTTCAATTAGCAAAAGAAAAGGGAAGACTTCCAGACTTTTTTTCTATACACACCCACTGGAATCATGCTATATATCCTGTTCGGCAAGTTGCTTTTCTCATTAAACAATACATTGTTAGGCACAGTTTAGATTGTGACCATGCCCTGATCAAAACTTTTTATTGCTTACCATTCATTCGTTCCATGGTTTACACTGTTACATGAGCAACACTAGTTAATGGCTAATGTCACTTACATGTATTTACTCATTTAATCCTCACCACAGGCATCGATGTAGATGTTATTCTTTTTGATCCCCACATTACAGATGACAATACTACCCAAAAGAGATGACACTTCCCAACCTGGCTCTTGAGGCCCTTTACTGAGGGGTTCCAATTCTAACTGAGAGCTCCTGTCACCAATCCCCCATCTAGTGAGACTAGACTATGACTTCTCTCATCTCTGCCAGAGAAAACTTTTTATAAACTTTATGGTCCAAGTTTTAAAGGGCATGAATACTCCATCCATTTGTATGTATACAGGCAGACTTTGAATATATTGCAGGCTCATTTCCTGAACACTGGAATAATGTGAGTCTTGCCATACAGTGGGTTGTAACCTTTTTGCTGGTGGAGGGTCTTGCCTAAAACATAACATCTATGGAACACAATAAAGTGAAGTGCAATATAACGAGGTATGCCCATACATCCAAAGAACATCCCCTAGAGGAATACAGCAGGATTTCTGGAAGGCAGAATCAGGGTTGGTTTTAATATTCTTTTCAAAGAGAGCATGCATGGTTGAATCATCAGAAAAATCTAAATAGAAATAAAATCTTCTGGGAATTCTCAGACACAAAGTTCTACCTACCTGCTGTACAGGGGCTGGTGATGCTGAATTAAAGTCCAGGGCTAAATAATCCAGGCTGAATTTCTTTGTCCACATCATAGCACCACTGCTCAGGGAGTTGGCTGTTCGGTGTTCCTCCTAGAAATCAACATCACAGGCCTCAGGTTAACAATGTCTGGCCAGGCTGCCCAAGGGAAGGAGGGTGAGCCATGTCTTCACTTGAGCAGCTGCCGTCAGATCATATCAGACTAGTATGATGAGACCTGTATGTTTGAATGAGAGGAGGCACTTGAAATACAAAATAGCCAATTTAGTCTTCACATGAAACTATACCTTTATTCACCGTGAAAACAGTTGGCCAAAATCTCCCCCAAGAATAATTTGGTTTATGGACCTGACGGGCCCACAAGAATTTGTTTTATGGATCTGATGGGCCCACGATACCATAAATCCTGGAAAGATCAGCAACACTTATTAAAGTTCTAGTAAAGTCACCCCAAATGCACTTAAAGATACTTTATATAATACAGTGATACCATGTGTGTAACATTCACCCAGGACTTACCACCAGCCTCGCAAATGGAATACTACCGATACCCATAAAGTGGCTGTTCCCCCTCCACTACCTCCTTCTCTCCCCGCAAGAAGTTACATACTATCTTGAATTTGGCCTTTACCATTTCTTTTCTTTTTAAATATGTTTTTACTAGTGTGTAAGTATCCTTAAATCACATATTATTTAGTTTTGCCTGTTCTGAACTTCTATTAATAGAACCATATGGTAAGTATTTTTGGTGGCTTCAATTTTTGTTTCATATGACATACTTCACATTCACCCAGGCTGTTGCAGTAGCCCTATTTTATTCATTTTCACTGGAATAGATTATTTCATTGCATGATTTATTTAACTGTCACTACCAATGACATTTGAGTTGCTTCCAGTCTGGGGCTCTTACAAGCAATGGTGCCATGGGGTGTGTAGCTGAGATTATAATTATTTTCTATTTATATCCAACAAAGTATTGGAAAGCAATTAGGCAAAAAAAAAAAAAGAAAAAGAAATAAAAGGTATCCAAACTGGACAAGAAGAAGCAAAATAACCTCTTTGCTGATAACATGGTCTTACATGCAGAAAACTCTAAAGATTCCACTCAAAAAAGTCAATAGACAAAAAATAAGCCCTGGCTGGTTTGGCTCAGTGGTTGGAGCGTTGGCCTGCGGACCAAAGAGTCCCGGGTTCGGTTCCCGCTAGGGGCACGTACCAAAAAAAAAAGTAATAAAAAAATAAAAATAAACAAAATCAGCAAGGACACAAGATCAACACCCCAAATTTGGTTGCCTTTCTACATACTAACAATGAGAAAATCTAAAAAGAAAATTAAGAAAACCACTGAATTTACAATAACATCAAAAAGAATAAAATATTTAGAAATAAATTCAACCAAGGGGACAAAGACTTATATACTGAAAACTACAAAACACTGCTTAAAGAAAGTAAAACAAATATAAATAAATGAAAAGATACCCTATGTTCAAGGATTTGAAGATTTAATTATTGTTAAGATTACAACATTAACCAAAGTAATCCACAGATTCAAAGTATCCTCTACCAAAATCCCAATGGCATTTTTTGCAGAAATAGAAAAACCCATTCTAAAATTCACAAGAAATTTCAAGGAAGCCTGAATAGCCAAATCAATCTTAAAAAGGAAGAATAAAGTTGAGGACTCACATTTCCTGATTTCAAAACTTGCTATAAAGCTGTAATCAAAACTGTCATACTAGAGAGAGGACAGACATACAGACCTATGAAATAGAATAGAGTCCAGAAATAACCTTCACATTTATGGTCAATTGATTTTCAATGAAGGTGCCAAGACCAGTGGGGAAAAGGCAGTCTTTCCAACAAGTAATGCTGGGGAAAATGGATATCTACACGCAAAAGGATGAAGTTGCACCATAACATTAAAACATATACAAAAATTAACTCAATTTCTTATTAATTATAAACAAAAGTTTTTCTTTACCCTTAATATAATCTGCCTAGAAAAACGAATATTCTAGCCCTGGACGGTATGCACAGTGGTTAGAGCGTTGGCCCTCAGAACAAAGCATAGCAGGTTCAATTCCCTGTCAAGGGCATGTACCTGGGTTGCAGGTTCGATCCCTGGCCCTGGTCGGGGAGCATGTGGGAGGCAACCAATCAATGTGTCTCTCTCACATCAATGTTTCTCTCTCTCCCTCCCTCCCTTCCACTCTATCTAAAAATCAATGGGAAAATAACCTCAGGTGAGGATTTTAAAAAGAAACAAACAAACAGAAGAAAACAGTGATTCTATGTTTTGTCATTATCAGGTCTCTCTGAATACTTAAGAAAAATTAGTCTTTTCTATTAAAGATACTTTTACAATTCTGTAACTTTCTGTATTTGCCTTTGAAATCTTTTAATTGTCCCTTTTATTGGATGGATTATTAAGTATTGTTTCACACACAAAAATATCAACTCAGAGAAGACCAAAGACCTCAACATAAGAGCTAAAACTATAAAACCCTTAGAAGAAAACATAAAGGAAAACTTCATGACATTGGATTTGGCAATGATTTCTTGGATATAACATGAAGACCACAGGCAATAAAACAATAAATTTGACTTCATCAAGATTAATAACTTTTGTGCATATAAGGACACTATGAAGAGTGTGAAAAGACAGCCCACAGAATGGGGGAAAATATTTGTAAATCATCTGACAATAGGTTAATATCCATAATACATATTTTTTAAAAACCCTCTACAATTCAACAACAATGAAAACAACCCAATTCAAAAATGGGTAAAGGAGCCCTGGCCAGTGTGGCTCAGTTGGTTGGAGCATCAAACCTGCACACCAAAAGGTCATGGGTTCAATTCCTGGTCAGGGCACATGCCTAGGTTGTGGGTTCAGTCCAGGTTGGGCAAGTACAAGAGGCAACCAGTCAATGTTTCTCATTTCTGTCTCTCTCTGTCTCGCTGTTTCTCTCTCTCTCTCTCTCTCTCTCTCTCTCTCTCTCTCTCTCTCTCAAATAAATAAACATATCCTGGGGTGAGGATTAACAAAAAAAAAGGATAAAGAACTTGATTGGACATTTCTCCAAAGAAGATATACAAATGGTCAATAAGCACATGAAAAGATGCTTAGCATCACTAGTTATTAGGGAAATGCAAATGAAAACAACAGTGAGATACCACTTTACACACATTAGGATGGCCATTATACATAAAAAGGGCCCTGGCCGGTTTGGCTCAGCGGTTAGAGCGTCAGCCTGCGGTCCAGAGAGACCAGGGTTCAGTTCCTGCTAAGGGCATGTACCTTGGCTGCAGTTTGTCCCTGGCTCTGGTTGGGTCGTGTGGGTGGCGGCCACTCGACGTGTCCTTTTCACATCGATGTTTCTCTCTCTCTCTTCCTTTCTCTCCTTCCCGCTCTATCTGAATAAAGAATGGAAAAATGTCCTCAGGTGAGGAAAAAAATAAAAATAAAAAAATATACATAAAAAGGGTGGGAGGAATAACAAGTGTTAGTGAGGATGTAGAAAAATTGGAACCATTTTGCATAGCTTTTGGGATTATAAAATGGTTAAGCCACTGGAAAACAGTTTGGTGGTTCCTCAAAAGTTAAACATAAATTGCCATGTGATTCAGCAATTCCACTTCTAGGTATATATCTGAAAGAATTGAAAGCAATGATTCAAACAGATACTTATACACCAATATTCACAGCAGCATTATTCATAATAGCCAAGAGGTAGTAACAATCCAGTTGTCTACCAACAGATGAATAAACAAAAAGTAGTGTGTGCATACTATGGATTATTAGCCTTAAAAAAATGAAATTCTGGTACATGTTACGATATGGATGAATCTTGAAAACACTATACTAAATGAAAGAAGGCAGATACAAATGGACAAATTTTATGATTCCACTTACATGAGATACCTAGAATAGGCAAATTTACAAAGACAAAAAGTAGAAAAGAGGTTACCAAGGGCTCACTGGTCTTTCTCACAAGCTCAAAGATCAGAAACGAACTGTTAGTGTCTGGAATGACTGTGCACTTGCTTCTATTACATTATAGATTCACTTCCCTTTTCTGTTCTCTGGAGACAGAGTCCAGAGCACAGCTGGTCCAGCATCCTTTAAGAGTATTTTCTTCTACAAGTTTCCCAAGGGCCATTACTAAGTGTGAAAAACATTGAGAAGATCACAGCAGATTTGTGTTATGAGTCACTTTCCATCTGTATATGGTTAAGTGCACTTATAGTACAATTTTTCTCAAATAGGCAAAATAAAGAATCTAATTACAGTTTCACTGGAGATTACTGTTTCTAGATTTTGAATTGCCTATTTTCCTCATGTATAGGAGGGCAGAATTGTCTTTTCAAAAGTATATAGTCACATTGCCTTGAATGCTATCCTTCTAAGATTTCTTTCCAAAATTTCATAGTTCAGAGATTCTTTCTAGAGAATTATCTCTAGAATTCCTACATTTTACTTTATTTTTTAAATTTATTTACTGTTGATAGTATTACAGATGCCCCTCATTTCTCCCCTTTGCCTCCCTGCACCCAGCCCCTGCCCCACCCCAGGTCTTCCCCACACTATTATCTGTGTCCGTGGGTTATGCATGTATGTGTATAAGTTCTTTGGTTAATCTTTTGAAAATTCTAGAATGGGCACAGTTCTGGTTAAAGTGTCTGATCATTGCTAGAGGTGTTAAAAGCCCCTTTCTCTCTTCAAAACCTATGCTCTCAAATAGAATCTAAGATAAAGAGAATAGAAGGGATAGGAAAGGGCAGGAAGGAGAGTTTAGGACTAGAACCATAAAGGGTTAATCAAAGGACAGAAATGTCAGGTCTCTATCCACTCAGGTCTATAGAAAAACCTTATAATAGGCGTCTCCAGAGAGTAAGACACATCCAAAGCCCAGGGTACTGTACCCCCCTCCCCAAATGGGACTCTAAGTGATTCATCCTCTGGAAAGGTTTGGAGGCAGTCAAGGAAGGGCCACCAAGTGGTCTAGTGGAAGGAACCATCCAATGTGTGAGTTTTCACAGCTTAGATTCTGGACATCAGGAAACTACAAACCTACTGGGGTCAAACAGGATATCACAACACTGGTGAAAAAAATAACATATTTCCATTTTCCTATTACACATGACTAAATCCTGGGTACTCTTGAAATACTGTGACCTCAAAATAGTACAAAGAACTGAATATTGCAGGAAAGAAAACCACCTTCAAACCGATTTGTTTGCAATCTAGAAAACACTGTAACCTGCTATTACAACCAAGTGATCGTGTTAAGATTGTATGAGGCTTGATGAAGTATATGTTTCCTTCATAATGAACTCATAAGAATATATATTGGAGTGAAGAATAAGAAGAGTATGAAAAATATAGGATTACCATTTGGATGTCGCTTTCTTCCTCTTCTCTGGAAATAGAATTGGCAAAAAATCTTGCAGAATTAATACCATTTCTTCCTGGAGAGAGAAAGCTGGTCCGATTGCTAAGAACAAAAATATAGATGAGGTCAAAGCAATGTCTTACAGCTGCTCTGAAAGCCAGCCAGGAACAGACATGGCCCCTGTGGGGTTTCAGCCCTCCCCTTCCAGACACAATTTCCTTCCGGCCAAAGCAATTCTTAAAGCAGTAGAGACTGCCCAGCAGCTTCTGTCCTACTCTGGGGCAAATGACTCCCAATTCACCAAGGCTACTTTTTTCCAGGCCCTCCTTGTGACACAGCTTTCTAGAAACAGCCAAGGCATCAGATCATTTAGAGAAAAAAAAAACACTGCTTTGGGACTCCCTTATTTCCATTCAAAGTAACTAGGAAAAGTAAGGAAGTGTGGCCATTCCTCGGATGGGATAAGGACAAGACTGCACATCAACTTTCTTCCAAGTCAGACACTGAAATATAGCTCATTGCAGAATTCTGCTTTACCAAGTGATTGTGTCCTGTGGCATTTACAGAGAACCAAGAAACTCCTGAGTGAGGCTCAGAACTCTAAAAATGCAACTTCTAAAAGGTGAGATGAGAGAGTGCAGTCACATTTTGAGGGTTGTCTACCAAGCCCATAAACCATTCCTCTTTCTCTGAGAATGCCCTTTGCCTACTATGTTCACAAAGTTGAACTTCTGGGAACCATGTCAGTACTACTGGGCCTCCCTTGGGCCATAGCTGCTTCCACTCATGCTGGGGCAATACAATTCCTTCTCCTAAGAACTGTGAATTGGGAATGAAAAAGAGTCTATCTCTGTTGATACTAAAATTGTAGCATGTAAATAAGCTCCAGATCTATAGTATAACTACTTTTGGCCATGAAGATTGTGCAACAAATAAGAGTTCAAAGAAAGAGGAACAAGCAAATGTAAAGAGAGAAGTAGACGTAAGAGATGGAGAGAGATTCCTTGGGTTCACAACAGCATTCTCCTTCCGAATTCCAGTATTCTGGGAGGTTCAGTTATATTCCTTCCTTTGTGATCTACAAAACACTTCTGGCTTGTGTTGATAAACCCTGTCTCTTCTTTTGCTTAAACTAGATCAAGTGGGTTTCAACTTTGTACATTTAATCAAAGAGGCCTAACTAAGACTGGGAGTGTCTGTGCTGAATTAGGCCCCTTTGAGCATTCAGAGACTTACCAAGGCACAGTGTGGGTCCTGGTTAAAGATGCATGTTCCCGAATGGTAGAGAGGTTTCTCAGGTCGAGGGGAGGTGGCCGTGCTACAGTGACACACAATATCCAGTAGGGTAAATTCTCAGGAGTTCAAGGCCAGAATCTAAAGACTATAAAACTATGACATTCCACTTACCTAGCACATCAAATCCAAATTTACTAATAAGCAGCAATGATGATGAGTGTGAATTTCCCTGTCCTACTCTTTCCTGCCTCACTGGGAGCAGAAGAGGACAACTACTGAGTGAAAATGGTCACATTACCACCTGCAGTTAACAGTGAGGCAATATATTTAGTCAAGATACAATTATTTACTCATTTGTCCTAGCCAGTGTGTCTCAGTGGTTACAGCATCAGCCCAGGTCATGAGTTCTATTCCTGATCAAGGGCACGTACCTGGGTTGCAGGTTCGATACTGGCCTCAGTCAGGTCTGTACAGGAGGCAACCAATTGATGTTTCTCTCTCACATCAATGTCTCTCTCTCTCTCTCTCTCTCTCCCCCCTCCATCCCTCCACTCTCTAAAATATCAATCAATGAAAAAAATATCCTGGGGTGAGGATTACAAAAAAAAACAAACAAACAAACAACTCATTATATGTCAGGCATTGTTCTAGGTGTTAGAGACACAGTATGAATTAAACAGATGAAAGTCTCTGACTTTACGGAATGCCAACACCTACCTCACACTTGACATGTCCAAAATTGAAACTTTACCCTTCTTACCACCCAGGTTCTAGTCTTTGCCAATCCCAGCCCACTGTCTAGCTGATGGGTATTTATGTCTAGAATATTCTTCTCCATCTCTCTGCCTGGTTAGTCATCTTTGGATCTCAGCTCAATATCACCTGCTCAGGAAGGCCTTCTTTAACCTCCAGACAAGATCAGGTTGCATATCACGGGCTCTCATGAGTTTATGTACTTACCCTTTATAACACTTCCCCCCAGTTTGTGATGATATATTTACCTGTGATTATCTCGTTCAGGTCTAGACTTACGTGCTCTGAGAGGACAGGGGTTTTCTGATTTGTTCACTGCAATAGCCTTGGCATCTAGAGAAGCATTTGGCATCTGACCCTTATTCTACCTCATTGGCCCAACTTGCTGAGTTGGTCACGCATGTATTCCTATATCACTGCTTTGACCGGGTTGCTTTTGTATCTTTCCTCCACTACACTACATGGGTAGATACTGTTTAACTCCCTTCCATATCACCAGAGCATAGTACAGTGACTTTCCTGTTGCTCAATCAGTTTCCCAGGAGCCTCAGACCTGGGCAAGGTGGTGATCTGGAAAGGACAGGTTAGTCATATAGTCTCTGGGGTAAAGGTCTCCCCTGGTGCCATGACACAGACTAACCACCTCCTGGCTTCACCACCTTCCCTCTTCCCACTGGGCCCCAGGGCCAATCTCTGCATCCACACCTGTCAGAAAACCAGTACCTCCTGGTTTTCCAAATGTGCACCCTCAGCCCTGGCCGGTTTGGCTCAGCGGTTGGAGCGTCTGCCTGCGGTCCGGAGAGACCCGGGTTTGGTTCCCGCTAAGGACAGGTACCTCGGTTGCAGTTTGTCCCCGGCCCTGGTTGGTCGTGCAGGTGGCGGCCACTCGATGTGTCTCTTTCACATCGATGTTTCCCTCTCTCTCTCTCTACCTCTCTCTCCCTCCCACTCTATCTGTACAAAAAAATGGAAAAATGTCCTCGGGTGAGCATAAAAAAAAATAAAATAAATAAAAACAAATGTGCACCCTCACATCCACCCAATGAATCTCTAATCCCAAGTCCATCGGGCATTTTCATGCCTCCAATCGCCAGATCCTATAGAGATGCACCATCCAATATGGTAGCCGAAAGTCACATGTGGCTATTTAAATTTTAATTTATTAAAGTTAAATAAAATTTAAAATTCAGTTCCTCAGTTGCCCTAGCCTTATTTCAAGTGTTCAACAGCCACATTTCCATCATCACAGAAAGTTCTGTTGGACAGCATTGCTATAGAAAATTAATTGAACAAAAGAATAATATCTACCTCAAAGTTACACGTCCCTGTTAAATAGTTTCTGACCAGCATGACTGGTTATTTCCTCTGAACCTCATAAGACAGGGTCTGTTCTCCTATTTAGTATGGACTTCATAATTCTTCTTCCAGATGTTTTTTTATATATCTTCTTTCCTCTCAGACTGAAGAAGCCTCCTTGCTTCCTCATGTTTGCATCCCACCCAGTGCCTAGAACAGCACTGCACACACAGCAAACACACTGTAAATGTGATCTGACTCAAATTGAACGGGTGAGACTGGAAGGGACCAGACATGAGTAAGGGATTTAGTTACCAGATTTGGGCAAGGCCACCCAAAGGAGTGGGGTTTTTTTTGTTGTTTGTTTGTTTTTATTTATTTATTTTTTTTATCCTCACCCGAGGACATTTTTCCATTTTTTGTACAGATAGAGTGGGAGGGAGAGAGAGGAAGAGACAGAGAGAGAGAAACATCGATGTGAAAGGGACATATCAAGTGGTTGCCACCGCACGACCAATCAGGGCCGGGGACAAACTGCAACCGAGGTACGTGCCCTCAGCGGGAACCGAACCCGGGTCTCTCCGGACCGCAGGCCGATGCTCTAACCGCTGAGCCAAACCGGCCAGGGCAAAGGAGTGGTTTTTCCAAAGGGCAAAGAAGGGTGAGAACGTATCAGATGTGAGGGTCAGAGATCATATTCATTGTACCAAATATTTCCTTAGAATCACATAGCCCTAACTGGGCAGGTGACAGTGGGCAAGAATGAAGTTAGAAAGTTACTTTGACATGCTTTTCCTCTTTCCTTCTTCTCCTTTCTCCCTGTCTATCCATGCTGCTTAGCAGACCAGAGAAGCTGCCTGGGAGCAATGCGGAAGCTTTAGGGAGCTCTGAGCACATAAGAGCCAGACTGCTTATGGCCAAAGTCTTCTCCCACCTGAAACACCTCAGCTGATAGACATGCACAGGGCACTGAATGATAAGTTGCATCAGCCCTGGCTGGTGTGGCTCAGTTGGTTATCATCCCACGCACCAAAAGGTTGCAGTTTTGATTCCTAGTCAGGTCACATGCCCGGGTTGTGGGCTCGGTCCCCAGCAGGGGATGTGCAGGAGCCAGCCCACCTGTGTTCTCGTTCTCTTTCTCTCTTTCTCTCTCTCTCTCTCTCTCTCTCTCTCTCTCTCTCTCTCTCTCCCTCCCTTCCTCTCTCTCTAAAATCAATACAAACTTTTTGTTTTAAAGAAATTACTGTCAAAGGTCATTCTTGGCTGCTTCATAGGAAGAGGGCATTGTAATTACATTCAAGTGCTATGTAAATGAAGAGATGCCAGATAGGTTCCATTCCCGTCCATCATCACTTATTTCTTTCTGGGCCTTTGTTAGGGAAGCAGCCAAAGATGAGCCCTCTGGAATAAACTTGGCTTTGTTGGCTGTATTTGCAGGGCTGCTATGCCTATAAATCCCAACTCTTTTTATCATGATGATCTGAGGCAGCAAGTTTCCACAGCCCTTCCCATTCAATTCCAGCCATTCTCCTCACCCTGAAACTTCCCAGCCCTCTAGGATGGTTTCTCTAGTGCTTCCCAGAGAGGGCCAGGAAGGAAACTTCCCCACATGGCTGTTCCCCTCTCCTGCACAGCAGGTATGGTCAAATGGCTTACGTTTCCTTTGAGGCTTGAGATCTCTATTCACTGGGGGAGGTTCCAGGTCTGCAGGTAGCTTAGGCAGTGGGCTGGAGATGCTTCCTGAGCTCATTGGGATATAGTCATCAGGACTGCAGTGGGGTCCGAGGCCAGAGGTGGTAGCCTGGGGACCCATAGGCACGTAGCCATCTTCAGCACTGGTTGAAGCTGTGGGGTACACTGGGGAGAACCTGCATGGCTGCAAGAGAACAGGTACAGGTTGGGAACCACAGAACAGTCATGGAAACTGCTACCAGTGGACAGCCTCATCTACACATAGGGTTTCAGGTACAAATTATCCAAGAATAATTCTGAACTTCCTTAGGAAAGTCAGACAAGCCTCTTACTCAAGCTTTGCCTCTGGACTTATTGTGTGAGGTAGGTGATGACTCTCCTAGATCTGATGCTGGAAGACAGAGGGTTATGAATTGATGCAAATGTTTTAAGCATAAAGTGATGCCTTCTGTAGCTACCCCAAGTTAGGCAAGTGTCTGAACCATTGGAACTGGCAGCATCCTTATAGAACACTAAGTCCATTAGTTTTCAAACAAGTTCAAGCCTTAATGGGAGGCTGGAACAGTCCTTAGAGATTCAGAGGGCTGAGTCTCAGAAGACTTCAAGGGCTTAAAGAAATTCAAGAGCCAAACTCACCAAATTTAAACTAAGCCGCTTGTCTCGGTGTCTTAAGGTTTGGCCTTCTATGTCAGCTGCAAGAAACAAGATGGGATAGTGAGAAATGCAGGACAACAATTTAAACTAGAATCCAAGAGCCTACGCACCTTGGGGCCCTGTCCTCAGCTCCACACAGGCAGAGAAGCATAACACAGTTTCTATAGGCAAGGCTTGCTATTAAGTCTAGTTGGGCAGTCAGAACAGATAGAAATCGGACCACATTTGGAAGTTTCTGTTTGACAGCTTTAGTTTGCTCTGTGCATTAGGAAGACAAATAGCAAGTAATTAACACATACTTGTAGCATTTATTACATGAATTTTCTAAGCTTATAGATGGTAGAGACAGAACTGGAGGTTTGAGGAGAGAAGAAAAGGTATGATTCATTCCTTGTGATGATCAGGAGCATAGGATGAACAGAGAAGTAATAATATTGCCCAGCACCATTGAGGGCTTATTTGAGATCTGTGACCATGAACTGGTGACTGTGACTTTCTGCAGCAATAGTCAGCTACTCAGGTACCGGAATGGAGAGAGAGGAAAGTTGAATACATACAGGATGAGAAATTTGTCAGGTGGGTGTGGCAGTGTGACATAAAACTTTAGAATAATAGTTGAAATGAAAGAGATGTCCATAAAAAAATAAAGTTAGTAATCAACATGGAGTTGCTGACTTTTTATTGTACTAAGAAAAAGCATTAAGAACAAAACCTGAGCCTTGGCCGGTATGGCTCAGTTGGCTAGTCATCATTCTATGCACCAAAATTTTGTTGTTTGGGTTCCCGGTCAGGGCATATGCCTGGGTTGTGGGCTCGATTCCTAGTAGAGGGTATGCAATAGGCAGCCGATCAATGTTTCTCCCCCTCCCCTTCCTCTCTGTCTTAAAAAAAAATAAAATTGAAATAAATTTTAAAATCTTTAAAAAAAGATTTATAAAAAGAACAAAACCCAAACATATACCCATCACCATTATTTAATAAAAATATATTTTAAATGTTTTGTAACTTTAAAAAATAAATAAATAAAGAGATGTCTATAAGAAAGCAAAATAGGTGGGTCTAGACTCTAATGAGATATACTTTCTGGGAATTAGCAGCTTAAAGATAATAATCAAGCCCTGGCTGGTTTGGCTCAGCGGTTAAAGCGTCAGCCTGTGGTCCATAGAGACCCAGGTTCAGTTCCCGCTAAGGGCACGTACCTCAGTTGCAGTTTGTCCCCAGCCCTGGTTGGTCATGCGGGTGGCAACCACTTGATGTGGCCCTTTCACGTGGATGTTTCTCTCTCTCTCTCCCTCCCTCCCTCCCACTCTATCTGAACAAAAAATGGAAAAATGTCCTCGGGTGAGAATAAAATAAATAAATAAAAATCAATCAATAAATAAATAAAGATGATAATCAAAACCATAAGAGTAGACAAGATTATCTAAGTTGTAAGTGTTGAGAGAAGTTTAAGTATAAAACCCTAGAGAATCCCAATATTCAAAGAGCAGGAAGATGAGCACTGGTTCATCCTGAGGGTGCAACCACAGTACAATGAGGAAAGTCAGGGGACACAGTGCTATTAAGTCTAAGAAAGGAGAGAATGGCCTGGCCAGTGTGGCTCAGTGGTTGGGTGTCGACCCATGCACCAAGAGGTCACCAATTCAATTCCCGATCAGGGCACAGGCCCAGGTTGTGGGCCAAATCCACCGTGGGGGGCATGCAGGAGGTGGCCAATCGATGTTCTCTCTCATTGATGTTCCTATATCTCTCTCCCTCTCCCTTCCTCTCTTTCTAAAATCAATAAAGAGAAAAAAAATTGAAAAGAAAAGAAAGGACAGAATGGCCAACAATGGTGACTGCAAGTGCTTTCAGCACATGGAACCAGAGCAAAGTGTTCCCCAAAAACTTGGAAATGTCAAAAGTCAGGTTGTCTCTGAGAAATAAAATGCAGAGTCAACATCATCTTAAAGTAAGGGAATAACTCCCATCTCAGAAAGATGTGATGGAAATTGATGGAATAAAGAATATGTATTATATATACACATATATGTACATATGTATGCATGCATGTATGTATGCATTTCAAACTGAATGTATCAAAAAATATTAATTTTTTACATGCATATAAGTTCTGTGGTTCATCTCTTCCCTCCCATCCCCTCTTCTGAGGGTTGTCAGTCTGACCCCTACCCCATCTTCCAACTTGTTCCACTTATTCCCCATCTCAGTTTCTTAGGCCAAAAACAATAAAGTCAACATTGACACCATTCCTTCCCTACTGCACATCCCATGAGTGAGGTTCTATATTCAAGGTGTATCAAGCATCTAACCAATTCATTAATTTATTTTTGTTACAGATGTTTCTCTTTCTTTCCCCATTGACACCCTCCTCCCCAACACCCCCACCCCAACCCCAGCTTTGTTGTCTGTGTCCATCGGTTATGCGTACATGCATATAAGTTCTGTGGTTTATCTCTTCCCTCCCCTCCCACCCCCTCTTCTGAGGGTTGTCAGTCTGTACTGTACTTCCACATCTCTGGGTCTACCCTGTTTCTCAGACTGTTATGTTCATTATATTCCATAAATAAGGGAGATAATATGATATTTGTCTTTCTCTGCTTGGCATGTTTCACTTAGGATAATACTCTCCAGGTCCTTCCATGTCATCTCAAAGGATAAGAGATCTTTCTTTCTTACAGCTGCATAGTACTCTATTGTGTATGTGTACCAGAACTTTTCTTCGTGCATTTACCTTCAGATAGAGTGGGAGGGAGAAATAGAGAGAGAAACATCGACACAAGAGAGACACATTGAGTGGTCCACACCCACACAACTCCAACTAGGGCCGGGGATGAACTGCAACCCTTAGTGGGAACCAAACCCGGGACTCTCTGGTCTGCAGGCCAAAGCTCTAACTGCTGAGCCAAACTGGCCAGGGCAACCACAACTTTTTTATCCACTCATCTACTGATGAATACTTGGGCTGTTTCCAGATATTAGCTATTATAAATAGTGATGCTATGAACACGGGGGTACATATATTCTACATGAATCAACTCAAAATGGATAAAAGGCTTAAATGTGACCCGTGAATCCATAAAAATCCTAGAAGAAAATGTAGGCAACAAAATTTCGGACATTATACACAGCAGAATTTTCACTGATACATCACCTAAGGCAACAGAAACAAAACAGAAAATGAACACATGGGAATACATCAAACTCAAAAGCTTCTGCACAGCAAAAGAAACAACCATCAAAATGAAAAGGCAACCCACTGTATGGTAGACCATCACTGCCAATGATACATCAGATAAGGGGTTCATTTTCAAAATAAATAGAATACTCACACAACTCAACAAAAGGAAGACAAAGAACCCAATTAAAAAATGGGCAGAGGTGCCCTGGCCGGTTTGGTTCAGCAGTTAGAGCATCGGCCTGCGGTCCAGAGAGACCTGGGTTCGGTTCCCGCTAAGGGTTGCAGTTTGTCCCTGGCCCTAGTTGGTCGTGCAGGTGGCAGCCACTCGATGTTTCCCTTTCACATCGATGTTTCTCTCTCTCTCTCTCTCTCTCTCTCTCTCTCTCTCTCTGTTCCTCTCTCTCTCTCTCTCTGTTCCTCTCTCTCCCTCCCACTCTACCTGAACAAAAAATGGAAAAGTGTCCTCGGGTAAGGATTAAAAAAAAATAGGCAGAGGGCCTAAAGAGACACCTCTCCAAACAGGACATACAAATGGCCAAGAGACATATGAGGAAATGCTCAACATCATTAATCATCAGAGAGATGCAAATTAAAACAACAGTGAGGTATCACCTCACCTTTCAGAATGGCCGCCATTAACAAATCATCAAACAACAAGTGTTGGCGAGGGTGTGGAGAAAAGGGGACTCTAGTGCATTGCTGGTGGGAATGCAGACCGGGCAGCCACAATGGAAAACAATATGGTGTTACCTCAAAAAATTAAAAATTGAGTTGCCATTTGACCCAGTGATCCCACTTCTAGGAATATACCCTAAAAATCCTGAAACACCAATCAGAAAGCATCTAACCAATTCAAAACAAACTCAAAACCTACTATCCAGTCTCAGTTACCATTATAGTTAGACTGAATTACTATACGCGTCTTCTAACTGTTTTTCCTGCTTCTACACTTGCTTTCCTTCAGTCTAGTCTGAACACAGCAGTGATTCTGTTATAGAAACCAAGACCTATATAAATGGAAGGATATTTCCTGTTCATGAACCAAAAAGTCAGCATTGTAAGGATGTCAAATCTTCACAAGTTTATCTACAGATATAACGTAATCCTCTTCAATAATGAACCCTGTCCACACTCTGCCGCCACTCACGAACATCGATTCCCACTGAACCTGAGTGGGGAAGGAAATCACTTTTATATGTTCCCTCTGCTTTATCAGATCCATTTTTGCTTTGAGACTCATTTTCATATTGTATTATTCTACTGATTTTATTCATTTCATTCTCCAAAATCTGCTTGTCTACTCTTTCAGTTTTCCCTTTTTGTCTACTGCTCACATGTTAGCACATTGAGACCCTTTGGGTAATCAGCATACAGTCAGTCATCCCTTGCCACTTCATGCTTCGACTTTCGTGGCTTCACTCTATCATGGTTTTTTCAAAAATATTCATTAAAAAGTTTATCAAGACAGTGAAAATGATACAGCGCACTCTCAATTGTCTGAGTCAATTATACACTCTTGTATTACAATTAAAATTACTCTACGTATGGACTGTAGGCCTATGTATTCGAGCACCCCCACAAATCCTTCAATGCAAGGTGAAACCGCTTGACCATTCCTTATGTGTGAGCAATAACTTTTTTCCCAAAAATCGGGTGTGGTGATCCAAGCCAATCAGTGTGTGCTGTTCACTGATTGGCTATCCTATCCCCTTCCTATCCTGGCCACTGATTGGCTCAGCCTCATGCAAGTTCATTTCCCTCATACACGCTTCTACATCGCTATGCATCGGAAGCATCTTTGCTCTTGTAAGCGTTTGCAATTTCTGAGAAATTTTATCTAACCCCACGATGGCTCCTAAACGTGCTGCTTCTTCTAAGCTTTTTGACGATGAAACTAAGTGCCGGAGGAAGATGCTTACCATCCAGGAGAAGGTGAAACTCTTGGATATGATTAAAGATGGCAAGAAAATCATGGACATTGTCCGCCATTATGACTTGAATGAGTCTACCATTCACTCCATCCATAAAGATGAAAAGAACATCCGTGCAACGGCTAGTGTCTCTTTCAACAAGGAAGCAAAGTGCATCGTGACAAGTAATAAGTTCATAGTTAAAACAGAGTCTTCCCTAGCCATTTGGATCAGTAACAGCCACAAGAAAAACATTCCACTGGATTCACTGGTCATCCGGGAGAAGGTGAGGCAGCTCTATCAGTGCTTTACAGTGGACGAACCTCAATCAGGACCCTCCTCTGCAACGTTCATGGATTTCACGGTGAGCAAGGGTTGGTTCGAGAAGTTCAAGAAGAGGTATTATCTGAATAGTATCATTCTCCATGGAGAAGCTGCCTCTGCTGACCAGCCTGCAGCAGAGGACTACGTGAACAACACGTTCCAGAAGATCCTTGTGGAGGGCGAGTATCATCCAGAACACGTAGATGAGCTGCTGAAGACACATTCGGATCCCTTAACTGACAAGGATCTGGTGGAGATGACTAAGTTTGCGAGTGAGGAGGAGGAAGAGCAGCCAGAGGTTCCTGGGGGTCAGGAGGAGGAAGTTGGCCTTACACTTGAGCGTCTCTCGCAAGTCGTGAGAACTATTAAGGTAGTACAGGACATGACTGGCAAATGGGACCCACAAATGATGTGTGCATTGTGGTTCCACAATGCACTTGATGGAGTGATAGAACCCTACAAAAGCCTCCTCACGCATATGAAAAGACAGTGCCAGCAACTGCCTATCATGATGTTCTTCAGCCACACACCCAGATACCCACTGTCTACTCCTAGCGCTCCTTCAGCAGCAGAAGACGACGACGCACCTGCTGAAGATACCGCACCACCTGAAGACTCTCCTACTGAGGTCGTGCCTTCAGAGGAGCTGTAACCTTGCTCTTCTTTGCTGTGCAGTACATCTCTTCATCTTCATCATCGAACAAGTTGCACTATTTTCATAGGTTAGTGGTTGTGTGTAAGAACAGTGTGTGTAATTAAATGTACAATAATAATAATGATATTTTTAATGTCTAATATGTCTTATTTTCTCTTATTTTGTCTAATATATTGGGTAATATGAGTGTAATGGTGACTAAAGGGTATTATTTCATGTCTAGAGGGCTCTAATAATGTTAAAAAGTGTATTTAGAAGGTTGTAAACAGGTTTTCTATGCTCTAACTGTGAAAATATTTGACTTATAAATAAAGAATCCTACTTCGCAAAAATTCATTTATCGCGGTAGAGTCTGGAACTGATTAACCACAATAAACGAGGACCAACTGTATACTCATTTCATCGAGGTTATCAGAAGGCAGTGATGTGTAATGGTCATATCATTAGGCTCATTGGAGGGGGTCTTTGCCAGTGATTCAGTTCCTCAGTCAGAATGAGAAATTTATACAATTTGAAGTGAGTTTGCATTCCTCAAACTTCTAAGTTCCTTTGAAATGTGGCCATATAGGTATGAGTGTAGGAGTGATTATATTTGGATGGAGAGAGAGAAAGACAGAGAGAGGGAGGGAAGGAGAGAAACTGGTAAAAAGAAGGAAAGGGAGGAAGAGAGAGAGAGAGAGAGAGAGAGAGAGCGTGAGCAAGCAATTGCCCCATGAGAATAAAGAGCTTTACAGAAAAAGGCAAAAGAGGGCTCCAGGAGGGCATGGCAATGGACCAAGCTGATAGGACTGGCTTAGCATTTCACTGATGATGACAGCATGGTAAAAGCCATATCACTAGTTTTTAGCTAATTAGAATTTGGAAAAAAATATGTCTGGTGGGTTGATGAATGAGGCTGATGGGATTGCTGAAAACAGAAGAAAAGAGCTAGTCTATTGTCTCAGAGTTCACTATGCATGTGAGAGGCAAAGAATGGAATCAAGCAGAGCTGATGTAAAATATATCACTTTCTGTACCACGTGGGTCCCCGAGTGACTCCAAGCAAACACCAAGAATTTAGTGGCAGGTGGGGAGGCCATCACATGGGCAGAGACATGCCTAAGGGACCAGGGCTCTGACTTCTTTCAGTATCTACAGAGACCCAAGGAGTTAAGAAGAGTCAGGCTTCTCTCTGTACCTGAATATTGGCATTCAACACTTACCTTTCCAGGTTCTCACATTATCTAAACCAGAGAGAGAGATTCTTCTTGGTGCCATAGCGCATTCTGGCTTCTTGATGCTGCTGTGTCCACTCCACAGTAGCTGCTCCTCTTGGCGCCGTTCAGAGAGATGGATTGGCTTGGGGGGGCGGGGAGGTGGCGTGCTGGACACAATGTCTAGTTCTTTTACCCCATAGGGCAAGGAACCTTGGTTTTTATCTACCTGAATGGTGGCATTTAAGGAAGTTTCCAGCAATGTTGAAGAAAAGTGGTCCCTGGATGGCCCATTGTTATCTCTACTCCAGGTCAGGGCAGCCTGAGGCCTTGTGGAAGGTGCCTCCTGAGATCCATTACCAGGGGCTGAGGGGTGGACCAAGTTAATGTAGGACAGCGGCTGCAGGCAGTCAACAAAAACGTCATCGAATGAAGTCTGCTCCAATGAACGGTCTGAGTTTGACCAGCTATCACATCTGGTGGGTAAACTGAGGGAAGAAAAGCACGTAAACTTGACTGAAATGTGGCAGGTCCCTGGCAGCTGAAGTTTGTACCACAGCGACACTACTGATACACCCTTGGCAGAAGTCTGAAGAAGAAAGCCATTTATCCACCACAAAACTCATGCTGGCTTCAATCCCATTCATCGAGTATCACCTTTTATTTTACTTATATAGCTGTATTACCTCTACAACCCTTGGTCACACCAACCCCTTGATGCAGGAAAAAAAAAATGGTTTGTTGATTTTTTTCCATATGAAAATGCAAGGTTAGAAATGAAAGCCACAATGCTAAAATACATGACTCATTTTGTTTAGTATATCGCATGCTTCACCCTCCACAATGGTTGATAGTGATCTGTCCCCACCTTGTCAGTAGCAGGAAAAGAAATGAGGGCAGATACACCCACTAGAAGATGCTACAGCTAAACAGAGTGATTTTGTCAGGAACAGTGCACACATCTCAGTGACAGACCCTGAAAGAGGAGGCAATGGGTGCTCTTCAAATAAAGGAGAGTGTGTTGGAGGCCTGATTCAGAGAGTCTGGCGCATAAGCATACCTGGCATGGTGTAGTCTTCCAGTCTCACAGTTGGACAGAATCAGATAATCAGGAAGGAAGAGAAACTCTGACTCACTTCTGGTTTCTTCAGTGGCTATGGTATTAGAGCTTGGGTCATCTCTTGGCAAGGAGGAGCTGACAACATGGGCGGTGTGAAGAGAGCTGGCAGGGGATGGCTGGAGGGAGGAGGGCGTGTGAGAGAGGCTCTCCATGGAATCTGCTGGAGAAATCATTTCCCAGGTTAACATTTAAGAATGGCTATAACACTCACTTGCAATTTCTCAAACAGCATCTAAAGAAGCCAAATAGAAGATGCAAATCACAGCTGGTGTTTGTACTGATGGAGGAGACTATTTCCCCAAGCTATAAACAATGTCTGGGAAAGAAGGCCAATGTTCCAAGAGTGAAGTGTTGAATCGATTAACACATTGTTGACCGCTCACGAGTTAACTTGGTTTGCACTTGCATTAGCTATTTCGATTTTGAAACTCAGGGTATATAGGATTATTTTATTTGTGACTCTGCCCTGAGGGTCGAAGTTTGAAAAACAGCACACTGTTCTATATTCTTGAAGAAGCTAGGGAATGGATATCTGCTAGTTCAAATGAGTGCAGCTCAGAACCTAACACTTCTGGTCCTTCTAAGAGAGCTCCTTATATTGATTCACCTTTTAGGCTTTCAGGGCAACTAAAAGATCATGTTTTAGAAAAAATAGTCACTGGTATAAAAATAATTCCAACTAGAACGTGTAAAGTGTGTGTTTTAAAAGGTGATTGCTATATGGTATACCACACCAAAAAACAAAACAAAACAAAAAACTAAAACATATAATATGTATAAAATATAATATGTAGTAGATATGTGCAAAGTTTCACTTAAATTCATTATGTACAAATAAAGTATACTGAAATTTATTTAGATTGTTTCACTTTCATACGCAATTACGAAAAAGTAGCCAGTGACATGAGTTAACTTCTGTGTAAAATTGCCGGTCAACAATGTGTTAATTAAAAAAAAAAAAAAAAAGGATCCTTGGTATAAAAATCTGCAGTTAGATAGTCTACACACAGCTTCTTGTTTTAAAAAATATATTTTTATTTGCTTTTAGAGAGAGGAAGGGAAAGGGAGAGGGAGAGATAGAAACATCGAGATCGGCAGCCTCCTGCATGCTCCATACTGGGGATTGAGCCTGCAACTCCGGCATGTACTCTGACCAGGAATTGAACCAACACCCTCTTGGTGCACAGGTCTATGCTCAACTGAGTGACACTGGCTGGGCTACACACAGCTTCTTTATGACTTTCAACTGCAGGCCTGCATCACTGTTTATTCCCTCAACAAATATACATATATATTTATGTACATCAAATACATATGTATGTACTTACATAGACATTTCTGTATATATGTATGTATGCATATATAGATTTTTATTTATGTCTACAGGAATGGGCAAAAGTGGGTTTACAGTTGTGAGTAAACAAAACTCAGTTTATTCTATTATTATTTATTCTTCTATTACACATTTTTCCAAACAAACAACTGTAAACTACTTTTGCCCACCCTTGTATATAGAATACCTACTTTGCACCTACTATGTGCCCAGAACTGTTCTAACTCTGCCAATACAGCCAAGACAAAGACTCTGTTCTTACTGTCCACCAGAGGAGACAGACAAGTAACACATAAATAAAGAATACTGTTAATGATGTATAAGGAAAAAAATGGAGTGTTGTGATGGCTAGTAAAGCCCACATTTCTCAAGAAGCATAACATTCAGAAACTCCCAATGAAAAGCCTGCTTTTATTTTTCCTTTGAACCAAGTTGGCAGGAGTTCAGAATTCCTGAGTCAGAGTGTCTCAGAACTGCCTGGGTTCAAGTCCAGGCTCTACTATCTAACTGTTGTGACCCTGTGCAAGTTACCTTCCTGCTCCAAGTTTCTTTTTTGTCAAGTGGAGCTGCAAATAGTACATATGCCACAGAATTGGTCTAGGGATAAGATGAGCTAAAATGCAAAAGCATTTAAATGGAGCTCCTGGCCAGAGTCCACACAGTGTGCTGACTACTTGTGGCTGCTGGAGACAGAACCAAACACTATATGTGAAAAGCCACATAAAGCCCTGAGGGTGTGGTTCTCAGATGAAGAGGACTCTGCCCTCACATCCTTCTAAAAACTAAGGGGAGATACAGGGAATAAAAGAGGTCATAGGGGGTTTCTGGCTTCCTCCAACTTCATGCCAGAGCTTTCCATTTCCTGCCTGGTGCCTTACTCATTCCTGTTCCTCTTTGAATATTAGGAAACGTGTTAGGTATCTATGTTTTAGGATAACTCCTGGATGAGGGAAGAAACAGAGGAAACATGTAACATGATACACAAATATACATCTTGTTTGGGCTGAGGTAGGGACTAGGGTGGCGAAGAGTGAGCAGCAAGTCTGGAGGAGTTGGTCAGGGAGCCCCCGTTTGTTTGCCATATGAGAATCCAGCCAGGGAGCATTCACTGCAACTTTGCTCATAAGCTTCATCTGCTGTAGCAAAGGTAAAGAACTCGCCATCACTTCATTTCCTTTTATTTGAGTGCTGTCAAAGCTCAACAATGTGACTGAGTAGCTTCACTTAATAAGCTTCCCTGGTTCGTGGAAAAAAAAGAGAGAGAGAGACTTTGTCCTCAAGAAACACTCTCTCACATGCTTGTCCTACAGATGCAACTCTGACTCTCCACCACCACCTAGAGTTTAATGTAGATATTTCAGCGGCCAATGATAAGCATACAAGGAACAGTGGAAATGTTGAAGCAAATGTTGACCAAGGGATTTAAGAGTCAAGTTTTGTCTATCAGCCTAAGGCTACAAGGAGTCAGTTTGAAAGTTCCATGGTTTGAGAATCAGGGAATGCTGCCCAACACAAAACCCATGAAGGGGAGTGAACTGAAATCCTAGGTGCATTATATCTAGTATATTTATATTACATACAAAGGGCAGTGTGTGTGTGTGTGTGTGTGTGTGTGTGTGTGTGTGTGAGGGAGAGGGCGAGAGAGAGAGAGAGGGGGGGGGGGAGAGAGGGAGAGGGGGAGAGAGAGAGAGAGAGAGAGAGAGAGAGAGAGAGAAAGAGAAGAAGAACGAGCCTCATGGGTCACTTGCTCCCACTGCCTAGAAATGGCCCAGAGCAAACTTGGAGCTAATTTCCCTTACAGAAACCTTGAGCCAATTGGAGAGATGAGGAATTCTTTCCTGCCTATAATTAGCCAAGTTCTGTCTTTCTACCATCTAGACCTAAGCAATAAAATAGGTAACAGAATAACTGGAGTTCCATGATTTTTTGAAAGATGGCGACAGTTAATATTTCTAGAAAATCAGCAGCAGCAGCAGCATGGGGAAAATCAGAGCCCTACAGGACATCCTCACCCATGTTTTACTTTCACTGAATGCATTCCCTGTGGCTTATGAGAGCCAAGGCACAGAACAGCTTCCAAGCCATTGAAATTACCTATATTATTCAGTGTGTGGTACACTCAGACCTGAAGTCTAAGACCAGGTGAAAGGAAGAAATTTCTGGTACTGTATTTGGTGGGTGGGAACAATTCTGGTATAAATTAGCCTGCCAAAACACCCTCAGAGGAGGTGGGCTTGGCACCTTGAATGGTTTTCCCACAGATGCTCTCCAGTGCATGTGCAACATCCCAGGATACCCATTTAGTACACAGGACCCCCGACTCTGCTCTCACCTGCACCATCCTCCAGGTGGCCAAGGTTGCAGACCTGACTGATGCTGTGTACCCACACCTGCATTTCTTCCTCGGTCTTGGCCACCAGATAGAATGTACGGGAAGTAGTCTTAACAATGAATACGAAATTATTCTGAAATTCCTTCCGAACGAAGCCAGGGCCCACATGCTTCCACACTGCACACTCGCTGAGGTCTATCACGCGAATTGGCTTGCTCGAGTGTTTGTTCCTGTAGTACTCCAAGACGTCAGGGTTACCACTCATGCGGCCCCGCCGGAGGACAAACCAACGCTTGCGCCAGGCCTGCAGAGAGGCAATTCAACAAGAAGTTACTGGACCAATTGCTCTTGCTTCTCACACTCTGCCAAGAACCTATTTCATGACAAGGACAGCAAAAAGAAGTAAATCAGCCATTCTAACAATGAAACACAAAGTCCACCCCATTTTGTATTAAAGGACTAGTGAGCCATCTTCAAGTCTGCTTTATTCAGTGATTATATAGAATAGATAATTTGCGGGGAATGTATTAATAGGATTCACACCCACAGGTGGAAGGACCAGAATTATACAATCAGTGCAGCAAGGGCATGTAATACATATGTATTTATACTCAGGCTTAAAAAACAAACAAACAGGAAAAAAAAGAAAAAACACTTAGTCGTGAAGAACAAGAAGGAAGCTTTCTTATCATTATCTCAATCCTAAAGCCAATAATCATATATTAAAATCACATACAGCCCTAGTAGGTTTGGCTCCGCAGTTAGAGTGTCAGCCTGTGGACCAAAGGGTTGCGGGTTCAGTTCCCAGTCAGGGGTGCATACCTGGGTTGCAGGTTCAATCACCGGCCCCGGTCGGGGTTGTGCAAGAGACAACCAATCGATGTGTCTCTCTCACATCAATGTTTCTCTCTCTCTCTCCCTCCCTCCCTTCTACTCTATCTAAAATAAATAAATAAATAAATAAATAAAACCACATACAAATGAGTGCCCCCCTACACTGTTAGTATCATCTAACACTGTTATTTAACTTCTAAAGAATTTCTCAAAAAAAAAAAAAAAACACAGAAAAATCATATACATTGGAGAGGAGAGAGGATTAACATTATCTGAAGTTGATGATTGTCTTTCTATAAAATCCCCAAGATGATTAAAATACAAGTAGAATTCTAAGAGAATTAAGTAACACATGCCGACTTATATTTCTTATGTGAGAAATCATTTTCTACGTGTTTTACCATAACCCATTTAATCTCCAAAACTATACTTTAGGAGACATACCTATTTTAAGTCCATTTTATGTATGAAATTTTTTGAGAAATTGACTAATGTGCCCAAGATCATACAGCTAAGGTGCCGTAGCAATGGATTTGAACTCAAGTGAGGGTGAAAGTATCAGTAATCAATGTGAAGTAAAATGTAGAGAGGGATAGCCCAGCCGGTGTGGCTCGGTGGTTGAGTGTCGACCCATGCACCAAGAGGTCACCGGTTCGACTCTTGATCAGGGCACACGCCCAGGTTGTGGGCCCAATCCCTAGTGGGGGGCATGCAGGAGGCGGCCAATCAATGTTCTCTCTCACTGATGTTTCTATCTCTCTCTCCCTCTCCTTTCCTCTCTCTAAAATCAATAAAGAAAAATTTTTTTAAAAAAAAGTAGAGAGTGATGTACAGCCAATTCTTTAGAGAGATCTCTGGGGCCAAGGGATTATTTTTTAAAGATGGAAGACACATGCATCCCACCCCCCACCTAAATCACAGTGTTTTTCAACTGGGGACTGAGATGCCCTACAGGACATCTGAAAATAAGCGTGTTTTGCTTGTCATAAAAGCCAGGGTGGGGACAGGAATTGTCTGTCTTACAACTATCAGTGTCCTGTTGGGAAACACTGTAACAATTGAAGGGAACTTTTCTTAGTGCAATAAAAATCTTAGAAAGAGTCAAGTCTTGAGGTAAAATGATCAGGCAAAGCTTAGTCCAAGCTCAAAAAAGAAAAGGGATTGATGCTGCAAAGAAACCAGCACTGAGATAATGGCTGACTGGTTTGCATGCCACTGGAACTACTGAGGAGGACTTAAGCCTCCTCGGCTCTCCCCTCAGCCCTGACCTAGAATGTTTGTTACAGACAGTACCAAGAAGCGGTGCAAATCCCAATGGATACACAGATAACTACCTTTTTGGGTATGAAGCCTGGGGAAAGAGGTATTTGAAAATGACCATAGCTGTGATATTGTGAGGAGTCCTCTTATCTGTCAACTTCCCTGCTGTCCCCTAGAAACAGGGAGAAAGAATTGAGGACTCCTCGAGTTCCTTATCTTTTACCTTTAGGTGCCCTTTGCTCAGTGCATGCCATCTGGCCAGCCTGTGTGGCTAGCACGTGCTTGCTTTCTGCTGGACGGAATTGAACACAGACAAGGGTAATAGGCTGACAGACTGACAGCAGGGCTTTCTTCTATTGGTTAGGCTTGAAGTTGCAGTTGGCAAATGCAAGTGGAGAGATTTATAGCTCTGTGGTTTGCTCTCCTGTGCAGTGGCATGTGTGACAGCAGGAAGTACAGGGCTCTGCCAGGAGGCATGGTGACCATTGGGACCGGAAGTCTTTTATATCTCTAACTTCATTTATGCCTGACATATTTATAAGCCCACCAGCTTTGACCAAGAGGCCAGGGGGAAAGGAAAAACCACCATTTGGAGTGTTCTCAGCTCCCTCCCTGCCCAGGGATCATAAGATCCGAGGCAGCAGAGGATCTGATAAAGCACTGAAGAGGGAAAAGTCAATGGGCACAAAAACCTGCAATTATACCTCAGAAAAAAAAAAAAAAAAAAAAAAAAACCTTTTGAGTCTGGCAGGGGGGAGCCATCAGAAGGAGGGCAGTTGCTCCATGTTGGGTTGGGGCAGGGATGGGGAAACAGAGCCTGGCAGGTGAGCACTGGCTTGGTTCTGCCTTTCCAGACAATGTAAAGCTCTGAGGAGATGTTTGGCTGCTCAGAAGAGGGACAAAGCAGTGTGATTAAGTTCTTGTTTTTAAGATGGGAGAAATAACATCATGTCTGTATGTTCATGGGACTAGTCCAGGAGGGAGAGAAAAATTAATAATTGAAAAAAATCCCTGCTGTGAAAACATGGTATTGAATGGAGTGGAGACACTAAACATGAGGAAAGGAGCTCAAGTGTCGCTGTGAGGTTTGGAATGAGGGAGGCGGGAAGCTTGGAGTTCTGGTGGGGACTGAGGCAAATAGGAAAGTAAGGCCTCGTCCTGGTGCTCCCCGTGATGACATGGGCACAAGGAAGGGGCCTTGGGGATGAAAGAATGTCATACATGCCTGCTAAGAAAAGCTTTCATGGGGAGCCTACAGTACCCCAAACTTTCCAAAGGCCACTTTGGCAGGGATATGTGAAGAGGGGGTTAGAAAACAAAATGGGTGGGTTCAACGCAGGGTAATGAGTGTGCTAGTAGAGACGTCAACCGGGAGTGGTGGGTGAGCAGAGGAGCATGACATGGAGAAGTCTGATTTTCACTCATCCGTTCAACAAGTATCTGTTAATAGGCTACTAATACGCTGGACACTGTGCAGAAACTGAGGAAATGGAGGTGAACAAGCCACAGGCCCTGCCACTCACAATCTTGTGGGCAGCAGGGGAAGTGGGCAGTTGGAGAAACAGACAATTGTAGTCAGTGAGATAAGTGCAGTGATAAGGGAAAGCCAAAATGCTATGGTAACACACAAGACAGATATCTCTATCAGATTGGTGGGTCTAGGGAAGCTTCCAGAAGGAAATGATGGCTAAATTAAGGCTGCAGAAGGGCTGAGAGAGTAGCATGTGTGCGTGCAGGCTGTTCAGCAGAGCTGGAAGGCAAGCAGGAGAACAGAAAGGAAAAAGAACAGTCACCAGTAACCTGAATAGGATGTAGCATCATTTTCATACTAAATTGGGCAAACTCATCAGCATGTTCCCCCTCCAGTTTTTAAATCTCTACCTAACTGTTGTAATTATGCAAAAACAGAAAAGATGCATTCTTGGAACTCTTTATTAAGTAGGTGGAACCAGAGGCTATGTACGTACAGTCCTGTCCCATCAGGCTTATAGGCCTCTGGAAGTGGGAGACATTTGACAAAGACCCCTGAAAGCAATCATCCAGTACCAAAGTAAAACTCTTTCCAGTGAAACAGTGCCACAAGGAAGTTATCAAATATAAAGTGTCACATCCAAATGACACAGGAACTAACCTAAAGAAGTTCCCACTGGACAAAGATGGAACAATTTGAGATTTAATAAGTATAATCATTTCAGTGGCTTTAAATCCAAAAATATGTTTAAGTTTAAATCCATGAGTTTTCATGATAGTATAAAATAAAAAAGAATTTGTCATCCTCAGAGGATGTGAAGGAACCACTTCATTATCTTGCAAACTAGTAAGTAAGGGAAAAGAAATGAGCATTATCCTGCCTTTCCTGGATAAGCCATCCCACTGAGCAGATGAAGGGAAATACCTTTGTATAAATGTACTCTGACTAATAAAGAAAAACAAATGATAGAATTAGAATATCACCATTTTGCTATCCCCAGTGAATTCATAAGTATAAGGATTAAGTATCAACAGTGGCCAACTCAGGAAGAGAAACAAGCAGACACTCTGTACCTTCAATAGCCTGGTATGAGGCAAAAGCCAGATTGTGGGAAATTCTGCACGTCAAAGGCCCAGGTTCTTCAGCAGATAAATGATAAGAAAAAGAAAGGACAGGGCAGGTGGAAAATCTTTGAAATAAATTACACCTAAAGGATGTATAAAAAATGTTTCAACGTGCTAGAAGAAATGATAGTGTCTAGGGGGTGTTCATTGGAGTGATAAAAACATAAAAAAGGAAAAGGAGAGATTTCTATAGATGTCAGGAGTAATAATTAGTTATGGGGAGAAGGAGGAGGTTGTGATCAAGATGGGGCACATGGAGAGCCTTAGGCAATGGGTGGCAAAGTTATTTTTCAACAGGTTGCTGGTTACAAGGGGTTCTAATAGTAATTTACTTGTCCAGCTCAGCAGTTGAGCATCAACCTATGCAAAAGGTTGCCAGTTTGATTCCCAGTCAGGGCACATGCCCAGGTTGTGGGCCCAATCCCCAGTGAGGGGCATGTAGGAGGCGGCCGATCAATGTTCTCTCTAGTTGATGTTTTTATCTCTCCCTCTCCCTTCTAAATGAATAAAGGAAAAAAATGTTTAAATAGTAATTTACTGAGCCATACATTTTTTAAAATGTGGTTTGCTATATTTGTGTTTTCTTTTATGATAAAAGGATTTTTAAAACAATTC